CTGCAGGCCTGAGGAGGAGGTCGGCTTTCTCCTGCTGCCTCAGTTTGTCATCCTTACTGTCCACTGGAGTGGCACAGCTGTATTCCAGCTCTCTGTTCAGCTTGCATTCCTGCAAGCTCCTATCCTGCCCAGCCCCAGGGATGGGCTTCCATCCATTCACCCCCGCTGGAGCAGACACCAGGTGCCCAGCTTGCAGCTCAGCATTCTCAGTCCCCAGTGGCTCTTCATTACATCGCACGAGCCCCGAGTGTCGCTGCCTAAGCTGCTTTTCCTCCTCAGGCGTACTCTTTCTTTGTGGTGTTTTCACCTCTCCTGTGCATCCCTTGGAGCCCTTGTCACACATTGCCTTTGTTTTCAGAAACTTTCCTGACTTCCCTACTTGGAAATAACCTTCCTTTCCTCAACTGCATAGCATTTACCGTACTGAGGAGCAGAACAACTGAACGCTGCCTTGTCGGTGCAGCTGAGAGCAGTCAGTTCTGTTTTATCTTCTAGTGCCCTCCCATGTGTGTGTGGTCATGAGTAAGTCCTGGGCCTGGTGACTTTGTGCCCAGCAGCCTCATGATAAGAGGTGGGTCACTTGAATCCCATGGTGATGGGAAACCCTGACCCATCACTTCGTGTAGGTTTTCTGAACTTGTGCCTGTGGGTTTGTTCTCTGATGCCAGTGGGCTGTATGACACCAGGTAGGCTTGGCCATTGTCATTATATTTCATGTGTGATAGTGCTGTGTTGTGATCTCCAAGGTGAGCTCTTGGCCCAAAATGTTAGTTTCCTTCCTGTGTGTGTAGGGTAAAGGCTGTTGCTCAGCAGACCTTGAACTCCTAGTGATCCGCCTGTGTCCAACCTCCCAAGCACTGGGATTGTAGGGCGCACCAACACGCCCAGTCTCAATCACCATCTCAGCACGCCCTGGGGCGGGGTTGGCACAACACACTCCCTTGAATCTTGAATCCACATCTTGGATTGCTCTGTGTAGCACTGGCGGGGAAAGGTCACATGCCATAGCAGCTGGCCACGTGGTGACGGGGAATCGAGGTTAAGTTTCCTTCTCCTGCATTTCTGTGAGCAGCCAATTTTAAGGGCCTGGACTGTGAGTACAGAGGAGGCACATGTGGGAAAGGCCTGTGTCTGCGAGTCAGAAAGTACTGGGGTGTTAGTTCAGCACATATGCGTTTGCAGTGGCAGTTTATTTTTCTCTCCCTGTAGTGGAACACACCTTAAGCATTCCAGCACAGAGGACTTTGGAGGTGCTCTGTACCAAGTTTAATGCTAAGAGAAAAGAATGAGGGCAATCCAGAATTGCTCCATATGGGCACGCACAGGCTATGAAACAGGTGGCTGAGCCTCTACAGCTTTGTGCTCTCCTTGCCTTTCACCTCTCTAGTGACAGGATGTGTACAAACAGTGGCACTGTTGTGGCCTCGCTGCTGGGCAAGGATAGGTGAGCTCAGTTGCTGGGTTTCTGGAACCTCCACCTCCTCCTCCTCCTCCTCCTCCTCCTCCTCTTCCTCCTCCTTTCTTCTTCTTCTTCTTCTTCTTCTTCTTCTTCTTCTTCTTCTTCTTCTTCTTCTTC